GCGTTTGCTTGTTTTGGTGTAATTGGTGTCGCTCTTTTATGTTCCCTATGTTCTTCTGTGGTCATCGTCGTTACTTCTACTGCTTGTTTTTACCGTATGTGTTTTAGGGGATTTGATGTTGTGTTGAGTTTCCCTATGATATTTCTTTTTTGTTTTTGTGGTTAAGTGTTTCCTGTATATTACTTCAATGATTTTTTTAAAATGAAAATTTGTATAATTAATGGGATACAATTGAGATTTCTTTTTTTTAAGTTACAATTTATTGGATAACTAGCTTACTATCTGTGCGATACAGAGTTTAGTTTTATTTTATTTAAATTTAAATAAAAATATAAATTTTTATTATTGAATTATTTATATATTCAATATATATATAATAAATAAATAATATAATTAAAATATCAAATCATAATAAAAATAAAATTTATTTTTTAAATTTTGCTGAAGGCTATAAGGAATTATTTGTTCAATAATTACAGAGTTATCATATGATTTATATATTCTTTTTCAGGAATATTTGTGAAATCTTTTATTATTCTGAGGTTTTTTTAAGCTAATATATAAATAAAGCTTGAAATTATTACTACTTATGAAACTATCTCTGAATTATTTTTTTAATTTTATTTTTTTATGAAAAATAATTTCCTTATTTGAAATTATTTTTCATGTTTCACGATGGGGATATGAATTGAGAAATTATTCATTCTTTGAATGTACAACTTGCACATAAGTTTCTGTTTATGCATATAACTCTATTATATCAATTAATCAAAATATCAATTTATTTTATATGAATGTAGAATTTGAATCAATAATCAGTTAATAGACAAAATCTATTACCTGATTAAGTGAAGAATTCTTATAAAAATAAAAGGTTTGCAGATAACACCGGTAAAAATATAAGAATATATGTGTTTTTATATATATATTTAAAATATTATAGCTAAAAATAATATTACAACTGATTTTTTTTAAAAAAAACTTACCTAATGAAGTGAATAGTAAATTTAATGAAATAGTACCTATTATTAGAATAAACATATTAGTTCCTATAGCAAGCATAAATTAATAAAAAGAGAGACTAAATTAATAATAGAAAAAAATATGTTTACTTAATGGGCATTAGGAAAGCTATATAGCTAAAAAATACCAATAATGAGGGTTTTCTTGAAGTTTTTCTGTATTTATATATTTTTTATATATTTCCTTTATGAAATATATTTAAAAGCTAAAGATAATATAAAGATTATTTACAAAAAATATTAAAGATATTAAATAATATTTTTAAAAGTTATGATAAATTTAAATACTCATATTAACTGTAAATAAATTAAAAATGATAAATTACTTTAAAATTGGTTTTAAATTGAGATAAGATTATGTTTGAGGTATAGGAGAAACTTTCTTGAAATTGTTTTGATATTTATATATTGTTTTCACATTTCCTTTGTGAAATATATTTAAATGCTAAAGATAATGTAAGGATTATTTATAAAAACTATTAAAGATATTAAATAATATTTTTAAAAGTTGTGATAAATTTAAATACTCATATTAACTTTAGATAAATTAAAAAAGATAAATTACTTTAAAATTTATTTTAAATTGAAATAAGGTGATATATAGGAAAACCATTCCTGAAGTTATTATGGTATTTATATATATTTTCACATTTTCTTTGTGAAGTATATTTAAAAATTGAAGATAATGCAATGAATATTTATAAAAAATATTAAAGATATTAAATAATATTTTTAAAAATTGTGATAAATTTAAATACTCATATTAATTATAGATAAATTGAAAAAGATAAATTACTTTAAAATTGGTTTTAAATTGAGATGAGGTGATGTATAGGAGAAAGAAATTTCATTAAAATTTAAATTGGTTATTTATTAAAATTTAAAATTAATAAATATCTATGTGTCATCATAATGAAAAATTTTAAGAATTATCTTATCTATAAAAAAAAGAAACTATCCATATAAGTATCCACATCAGCAATTGCTATTTGGTAATTATGTATGGTGTAATATAATATATATATATGGTATTAAAGATATTAAATAATATTTTTAAAAGTTGTGATAAATTTAAATACTTATGTTAAATGCAGATAAATTATTTTAAAATTAGTTTTAAATTAAGATGAAGTGATGTATATGAGAAATTTTATTGAAGTTGTTCTGGTATTTATATTTGTTTTTCACATTTAATTTGTGAAAAATATTTAAAAGCTGAAGATAATGCAACAATTATTTATAAAAAATATTAAAGATATTAAATAATATTTTTATAAATTGTGATAAATTTAAATACTCATGTTAAATTAAGATAAATTAAAAAAGATAAATTAATTTAAAATTTATTTTAAATTGAGATGAGGTGATGTATATGAGAAAAAATTTTCATTAAAATTTAAATTGTTTTTTAGTTCAAATTTAAAATTTTAGATAATTTAATAATTTTTAAAATATATTTTTTAAAAATAATTTAAAATTAATAAATATCTTATGTGTCATCATAATAAAAAGTTTCAAGAATTATCTTACTTGTTAAAAAAAGAAGTTGTCCACGTAAGCATCTAAGTCAGCAATTGCTATATGATAACTATGTATGTTGTAATAATATATATATATATATATATATGATATATGATATCTATACTATCTAATAATTTATTAATGAAAATAAACCTTTTAAATGGAAAAAGAAAAGAATGTAAATAAATTTTTTAAATATTTCATATTTTTCTAATTTAATTAAAATGCTAAGAAAAGGATAAGCCACATGGTATCTGACATATTAAGCCATATGGTATCTAACATCTAACATATTGTTATTTTTATCTTCAAACTTCTATCATGGTGACGCATGGCATTTTAAGACTTATTTTATTAATATTGATTACGTTTTTATTTTAAATTATTTGAATCTATCTACTCATTAACTTAGATATTAAAGAATTTATAATATTCATCAATTCAATTTATAGTGAATCAATTTATTTTGTATTGCGTGCCGTTTAAATTATGAGTATTCATATCTACTATATTTAATTATTTAGGAATTTAACCATTCATGAGATATTAATGAATACAATTAATTATAAAAGTGTATTTAGACTATTTATTAACTTCGCATTTATGGATTTATGGTATTTATAAACTCAATTAATTGTGAATGAATATATATTGTATTATTAAATTTTTGAATTTAAATTCATGTCTACTATTAAGTAAAAATAAATTAAATTCAAATTGAATAAATTTAACTATTTATAAATTTAATTATTTATGAATCTATGATATCTATAAACTCAATTAAATATATTTAATGTTTAATGTAATTTAAATTTAATATATTTATTAAATAGTTTAAATACTCATAAATCAAATCAACATATAAAAAATATAATATATGCAGCAACACGTGAGATGTGACATAATTGTTATATAATTTCAATCTTCATTTTCAATGTAATTCGAAATTTTCTTATATTCCACTTACACCAAATTTAAATAAAATTGTAGGGAGGCCAGGAATTATAAAGCATTATATAACAATATATTATTTTCAACCCCAAAACTCTGAAATTCTGACATTTGACAGCATGACATAATTTTTTTTCATTTGTCTTTTTGTTTTGGAGCCCTATTAGCTCAATTTATTTCTTGAAGCTAACATGTATCGTATTTTATACTATTAAATTTATTTGCATTTAACATTTGGAATTTAAACTCTTTTAACCAAACGTCAAACGTTTGTTTTACAAGGTAATTGACGCTTCAGATTGGAATGAAAATCAGGGGGAAGTTCATTCTTCAGTTTCTTGAAATCCGATCGTTTTGCATTCCTCTTCAATTAGATCTTCCAATGTTCTTTGGTATTCCTCAAAACCCAAATATGATGCACATTCATTTCATAAATTAAAATGTTTCAATGTCAACAATCCTTTTCAATTTTTAAAAGTCCGTTATCTTCTTTCTTTCCACAAAACCATTTGTTCCTCATGTTTGTTGCAAGTGCAAAAATATAAAGGAAATTCTCCAATGATCGAAAGAAGTCACTTGTTTTAACTGTTATTTTGATGCAGCTTTATTTCAATCCTGCAATAGCGAAGATGCTTAGCAACATAAAGATAGCATAATAGATTATGTTTAATGATTATTTAAATAGAACAGGTCCTGATCAATCTCCTTTATGCTCTAACAAAATTCATTTTTGATTAGTTTTATGCTTTAAAATATATGATACGTTTTTTTTTTTTTTTTTTTATTTATTAAATGTTCAAAGAGGTTGCAAATCGTTTTAGGACAACAGTGCGTTGCATACTTGCATGCCAAAATAAAGTTACATTCCTTTATAATTTTAGTTGTTTGATTAATGAATCATCACCTGTTGTTTGAAAAGGTGGAATTTCATTTTTGTATTGTCAAGTAATATGGATATGTGAATTATCATTATTAAGATATTTGTCTACATTGTTGCTTTTGCTTTTAAAGGTGCTATAGTATATCATTCATTAATTTTGTTGTCTTAGCATTGACAAGAACTACTTTATTGGGAGGTTTAAAATTGGGCTGCCCATTTTTTCAAGGAAGAAATTTTCTGAGAATAAATGGTAGCTTTGATAATGAACATTATTCCTGAATTTATGTATTGTAAATTAAACTTACAACTTTAATGTGTTATCTTTATGTAAACACAAAGAAATTTTTTTGCACTTTTATATATTTTTTCTTTTGTATATACACCATGATCAATAAATCGCATATTATTACATTATTAATAAGTAAAATTGAAAGTTGAGAATTCCTTAAAAATAAATTGCAGTAAACTTTTATTATTTATATTTTGATAATTTAATTTTTAAAAATTTGTTTATTAATGATATGATAATCAGTGATTTAATAATAATACATATAATTAATAAAGTGATAATACGTCAAATATAAATTTTAATATTATATATATATATATATATTAATTTGCTCCCAGGGAACATAGCTTTTAAATAAGTCCAAGCATGCATGTAGTAAGTGCGCATAGGATAAGACTGCTATTTTTTAAAAATAAACTTTAGCAAACACATAACCTATGCCCATATCGCCAACATCCCAAATTAGCAAGGGTGCCTTTGCTTAGCACCGAAGTTAACTATATCTCTTTTCTACAAAAACTTTGCTTTTGCCTGTCTTTTAGTTTATTTTAAAGGATCCCTTGTTTATATTTGCCTCTCCCTCCGTTTTCCTCGTTCCTTTAAGAACATTTTTCCTCAGTAAAATACCACATACCAACCTCCTGCTATGTTTTCTTCTTGTATATTCCCCCCCCCCCCCCTTTTTTTTTTGTCCTTATGTCCGTCCCGTTTAAATGCCTGATATCAATCTGGTAACAAAAATGGAAAGTTTTTGGTAATTTGGCGATACGAAATTGAGACGTTGGAATTTGAAATGTTTAGAAGATTTCATTTTTCCAACTGATAAGAATATATTATTGATCAACAAGAAATAACACAACATTTGGTTTATAGAAGTACCGGCAGGACCTGACCCTTGGTGAGGGGGCCGGGGAGCTGAAGATTTGGATGATGGTTTACAAAAGTATTTCTAGGACCAAAACTAACAGAGATTTAGGGTCTGAGTTTGGTCCAGAGCCCGGCTTGCATGGTGGGCTTCATGTTTCAATCCGCCCGTAACCAAGATTGATCCTGGTGAGGAGCTACAAGCATCTTCTTCCGAAGTCTCTGAATCACAATTTGCTGAGAGCGAGATGGGATGCCGCCTGTCAAAGCTTCAGCCACTACCGGGGAGGAGGGGGGGTGGTGGATCAATCTGTGGAGGCTGGAGAGTAAAATCAAATCAGCCAGAGCTTAATTTCAGGCTTGGATAATATCCGATTTCTCATCTCTACAAACAACTGCAAGGGAAGAAAACGTTGAAGAGACGAAGTGAAGGAGGTGAAGGTTTTGGTGAGTTTTTCCAAACTTTGTCAAGTTTACTTATTGTTTGATTGTTCCAAAGTCGTACATGCCTTTGTCATTACCAACGCATTTTCACGTAGGGTAGCGTGCATTTTCCTCGATCCATCAATTCTTTAATAGTATTGACGTGTCCAAAATAACTAGTCAAAGAAAAAGACACTCTCAAATTAACTTATTATATGGGAGAAATTATCAGGAAATTGCATGATTGTCGGCATGAATTTACATACGTTGATTTTTTCGGATCGAATTATGTGATTCAATTCATTTAAAAATATAAAACGAATCACGTTTACATCATTATTTTTTTTTCATATGATTCAGAAAGCCTTTCATAGGAAACATCCCAATCTTTTGCATTAAACATAGTTTCTCTCATTATTATTATTTTTTTGAAATGATAACTATGTCTTATGTCTAGTGATATCTGTTCAGAAGATATTTAAAAAAATGTGCAACTAATGAATTGTTCTCTCTCGAATTTAATAAAATAGTAAATTAAATGCAAAAAATTTATTTAGTAATTAAATAATCTTTAATCAACGTGCATAGATATCCGTTAAAGAGTTTTTTTTATTTTTTTTATTTGTCCATCTGTTTTTTAATATATTCATGACAACCATTATCTATAGGCAATTGGAAATTTATTAGTGTCGAAAGTTGTTGAAGATTTATATATTGTAAAGTACTACAAAATTGTAATAATAGAAAGGCATTAGGACTTAGGACTCATTCATTTAAAGTATTTGATAAAATAATAATAGAAAAAACTAGTCATGCACATTGCTTTTCTGAATACCGAAAGTGACAGCAATAATATAAAAAGTCAGTTGCCTGCAAATAAAGGTAACATCGATCGATGGATCGCTAGACCAAGCGAAAATGAACAACAATCGTTCGACTCAGCCGTTAAACCTTGCAGAATTGCACGATCAATAGAATATGATGTATTCTTTGTCCACACACTATGACAACAACTTAAATTTTGATTTGACGATAAAATTTTGATTAAATTGATGAAAGTTGGTCGTGGATGAGTGCAAAAAATGGTTGGTTGTCGGTTGCTGGACCCACTGTATAATTAACATTCATCAATTTTGGTAGATAGATTAGAAAATTTTTTTTTTCAATTCAATTGCTTTTTATTTTAGTCATTGACCAAAAATTTTAAAAATATTTTAAAGTAATTTTCTTATGTTTATTGATTACAAAAGAAATTATGATAGGGCCATTTGAAGTATCCAAGCGTATTTTTCCCGCTCACCAAGTATATATAGGCTTTCCATTTGGGAGGAGGAAATGCAGTAATTCCCTACAGAAAACTGCAAACTTTAAAGCTCTTCTAAGGAAATAAAATAAAATGCCTGTGACAACTTTAAGTTGGAGGAGCTCCAAGTTCGCAGCTGCGAAAAAGATGCGTTCCAGAGAATCAAAGAGAGACCATCAGGTATATATCTCAATTTTGCGTCATTAGTTGTTGTATTTGTTATTGTTATTGTTATTCGGCATTAACTTAAATTATCATCATCAATGTAATTCATTTGAAGTTTTATTAAGTGTGTTAGGCTAAAAGATCCCATTCAATTAATTTATTTAATGTAAATGAATGTATAATCAAATTATAAATTATTTACATAAAAAGTAATAATTTAACGTAATTCAACGCTTTATTTACTGACATTTATAGATAAAAAAAAAGATTTTATAGTTCCGGAGAATTACAAACACATTAAATCGATCAAAACTCAAACAATCACTCATTCCCATTGACCCTATCATTATCCTCTAGGTTCTATAAAGTATTTAAACACCAAACATTCAAATATATACACTCGTATGTACCTTTCATTTTCTTAGTCTTGTGAGTTGTGTACCCTTAAAACCTTATAACTATGCTCACCTCTTTCTCTTATACCTATTGAGACTTTCATTATTTATAAGACATCCAACTTACCCAAAAATAATCCTTCCACTCTTATAATTCTTATATTCCAAGTATTGTGTATCAAATAATATCTATTCAATCTCGAAAAAATCTCAAACAAAATTCTTACAAAATCTTTTGTGATTGATTCAATATTTTCAACAATAATTTTTTTGCTTCAAATTTGTAATTGTCTAGTTGTAATAAAGAATTATATATGAGTCCATTACTGATAATTAGAGAAGCTAATGATTTGACAACTTAATTGGTAAGGTTAGGTGTCCTTTGAGCAGATTTGGTCTCCAGATGGTAGTGAGATGTGATCCTTTTGCTTTTAGTGCTGATTTTGTTTATCAAGATCAAGATGTTAACTGCTATTTTATTGTGATTTCATTGCATGAGGTTCTTTATTAGAGTTGTATCAGTTGATTACAGGTTCTAGCTTTATCTAATATTATCTTTTGTTTAAGAAGTTTGGTTTCCTTTTTGGCGGATTGCTTAGTTTTTAGGGAATTTCATTTTTGGGGCTCCTCTGTTTTAGATGTATTTTGGACTACTGAGAGATTTTTTATCTCTCAATCAATAAATTTACTTAGCTTAGCCCAAAAAAAAAAAAAAGAAAAACTACATGATGTTGAACTGAGATTTGTTAATTGTAGTGCAATAATCTCCTTTCCTTTTGCTCTCATACATATTGAGACTTCCATTATTTATAAGACTTCTAATTTATCTAAAAATGATCTTTTTGCTCTTATAATTCTTATATTCCAAGTTTTGTGTATAAAGTAATATTTAGTCAAATCTTGAAAAAAGCTTAAACAAATTTTTTACTACATGTTTTGAGGTTTGAGTTAATATTTTTACAAAACGCTCTAAAAAGTAAGGATTTTATCAAACATTTTGCCTATAATTTTTTTCTTCAATTTTGTAATTGTCTAACGACAATAAAGAATTATATATATGAGTCCATTACTAATAAGTTTCTTCACCAATCCAGATTGGTTTATTGTAGTGCAATAATTATTTGTGATAAGTTCTGATAGATCTGTTATCAAAAGATTATCTATTAAGAAATTAACTTAATATTCAAATGCATTTCCACGTACATGAGATATAATTATACAAAAACTGACTGTTATGAAAATAAAATTTCTGATCAAGTCAAATACGTAGGCTATGCATTTTTTTAGTCGAGACTAATGTTCAAAATAGTAAATCAATGTCATGTTGGGTCGAATAAATTTGGAAACATCAAAGAGTTGAGCCATGCAAGATCTATACTACAGTAGCTGGTTGTTGTCCCTAGTATATAGGCAGAAACTTATATTCATATATAGTTGAAAAATAGCTTTAATGGATAAAATTGCCATTAAGTAGCAGATGCAAATAAAAGGCCAAGGTGTCTATGGACACCACCAAAAGTTTGGAAAACAAGAAAATTTGAAAGAAAATTTTCACTTTAAGAAAAAATTTTAAAATTTTTTCTTAAACATATCTTAATTCCTTAGCCATTCCATTCATTGCCCTTGCTTAATACCTACCAGAACCTATAGCCTCAATACGTAGTATCTAGTAAACATCCACTATAATAAGTGGACATTCCGAACAAAAAATTTTGGATTTGTCACTGTTAGCAGTTCTATTTAGTTAAAACAAATAATATCTTATAAGTTGGTTTCAGTTGCCTACTTACCTAAAATTTTTGTTATCCTCAGAATTAGAAAGATATTTGTTTAGTCCTCTAAACATGTATCAAAACAACTTGTGTTTAAATTTATTTAGTTAAAACAAACAATAGCTCATAAATTGGTTTCATTTACTTACTCACTTAGAATTTTTCTTATTCTTAGAATTAGAAGAATATTTGTTTAATCCTCTAAACATGTATAAAAACAACTTATATTTGGAATTTCAAATTTTGAAAATTGTTTCTCTTAGAAGAACTTTTGTTTTCTAGCAGAAGAAAAGAAGGCTGACAAACCTAAACTTGCGCATGAAAATGTTAAGAGTGGAGATGGAGGAAATAAGTGAAGACCAAAAAAAGATAAAAGAGGGGCAAAGACTAGTAAGAGAAAAGTTTGAAGCCATTGAATTGGAATGTGAGCAACTTCGAAAGGAGACTGTCCTCATAACACAACAAAGTGTTAGCACCCAAATTCGTCTTACTCTGATGTTCCAAATCTTGAAAGCTAGGGAAAACCATGACTTTTCCAAAGCATCACAGCTCACTTGTGTTCTCCGGTCTGTTCTCTTCACAATTTCATTAAAACTGCCAATTTTGACTTTCTTAATATATATAGAACTACTTCCATTAAAATTATGCTAATGTTACCTTTCGTTTTTCTTTTTACTACAGTGAACTCATAGCGAGAGAGAAGTAGCAAAAAAAGCTTTGATGGCTAATTGGTGATGCATGTTATCACAAATTAATAAATGGTGTAATAGTTTCCATTGTTAAACTTTTACTTGTTTATGGTATTTGAAGCAGTCAAAGTGTAATGCATGGTCACTAAAATTAAAAGTCTAGCACTCTATCAACAGATCGCATGACTATTGATTGTATTTTTTTTTTTTTTAATTTGAAAGTTTAAGGGAAATCCGAACATGTTCTTTGAACAAGAGAATTATGTATCAATTATTGTGCCAAATGCTTGTGTTAAGTCTAGGCATATAATTTGTTGTAAGGTGTTGTTAATTGGCTTTCCTTTTGATTGCTACTATTTATATTATTTGCAAGTGCACAAGATCGCTATCAAGTAATAAGTGGTAAGTAGAGTATCATTTCACGATGATTATTTATTGTAATTATTGGGTGTAAATCTAGTAACAAAGTTGACAATTTACTAGCCTTATATTTAAAGGATTGAAAAGAATGGTTAATTGAAAGTAAAAACAAGTAAATAAAGTAAAAGAGCAATTGTGTATATAGACCAAGAAACAACCATCCAACTATCATTTGGAGGTTTAATGAGTGGCCAAATATAACAAGAACACTAAAATGATTGAAAGCTTTTGAAAAAGGAAATATTGATTGTAGGCAAAAAATAAAAGAAAGCATAAAACACGATTTAAAAATTGCTTGTAAAATATCTTGAATAGAAAGAATGCTTGTATTAAGAAAGAATTGAGAAAGCAATTTTGTGTTGGACTAGTTTGTCACTCTAGCCAAGACTAAAAACAATTAGATTTAAGCTAGTTTATCACCCTAGCAAAAATCGTAAGAAAACCAAAAATACAAGAAAGAAATAGAAAGAAGAGTGGGATGAGAATTGAGTGATTTGCAAGTGAAGAGAGCCTCCCTATTTATAGTGGTAGGTTCAGCCAAAGCGAATTAGGATTACAAGTCTTTTTACAAGTTAAACTCTAAGAAGATTAAGCTTTATCTTGATCTTCAAATGTTGTGGCCAAACATGGAGTCTTCATTGATGGAGTGTCTTGGCCGAATGGGGCTTTTTGGAGTTAATCTTGATCACACATGTGTCATGCCATTCGTCATCTTACAATCTTAGTAGGAGTTTTGGCTAAAGTTGATTATCTAAGACCATGTATTTGCATCAACCATAGACTCTTAAAATAAATCTTCAAAAGTCCTTATTGCATATAAACTTTAGCCTTTATCTTTTGTGTTGCATTTATCTTGTATGAAAACTCTATCAAGATGATCAAAGAGTCTTCCTTTAATAAAATCTTTTCTTAGCCAAATATTTGTAGGAGTCTTTATCCAAGTAGGATTCTTCAATTACCAAATGCTTGTAGGATTCCTCATGCAAGTAGGATAGCCGAATGGATATAGAAGTCCTAGTGTAAATAGGATTGGCTAACTCCTCCTTATTGCATGGCTAAATATGACTTGGATTAAAATTAAACTAATCTTGTATAGAATTGCATGGCTTCACATAGCTTTCACATCTTATATGCATAAAACCTCAAGATCAAGAAATCACACATTAAATGCACCAAATTCAAGCAAATTTTCAAAATTTTAAGCTAAATTGGACTTATAAATTAGTATAATTTTTACTGCTATCACCTTTATTTGGGATAAATGATACTCATGTCTTGTGTTTGGATGTTGTTTTGTAGCCCTTGCTTTGCTAAAAGATAGACTTTAGGTTTTCATGTGTTGACTTATTTTTAATTATCTTCTCTTTACAAAATTCAAACTTTTTTTTACATATGTTACCAAAAACATCCTTAAACCCCAAATATGTAATTCAGTGTTCATGAACAACCATCTTTATACATTTTAATCGGCTAAATTCTTAATTTAAGATTTAATATTTGGGCTTTTTCAACTATATCATCTTTAATTCGGTTCAATGTAGAATTAAGCATATTTGAATTAATTCAAAATAGGATTTCGTTAAAGAAGTGTATTGCATGCACGTTGAAATAGAATGAAGCAGAATAAATGTCCCTGGTTGGTAGGAAAATATGGAAAAATTGTATTTTTATTATATAAGTGAAATTATTTATTCAAAAATAATTCAACATAAAAAATAAACGTACTTTTGAACATAAAAAATGTGAAAACAAAACAAAATAATTTATTAAAGATAAAAGAAAAGGGGCTTTAGGTTTTTTTTTTTTTTTTTTTACAAAAAAGAAAAAGAATTGATAAAAAAATAGTGGGATTGAGTGAAGAATTTAAATTGGATAACGAATTTGTTAGATTAAAAATAATGTAATACCATGCTTGCTTGAGATTAAAGATGAACTTCCACTTAAGACATTGGTTGTAATCTTCTTTTCCAAGCTTTATGTTGAACCAATAATGGAGCCTTCAAAGAACAAAAAATAGGCTTCAAAACATGCTACTAATGCTACTTTTCTTAAGATTTATTTAATCTCAACTAGTTCTAGTATACAAAAAGGATAATCAAAATGTCTATATGATACAATGAAGCCTTTTTTGATGTCACCTTGCATTTGTGTATGAAATTACTAAACACTCCTGATGAGAGATAAAAATACCTATCTTTTATCAATGTTTTTTGCAAAAACAATATCGAAGATACTTGCTTCTAATTTGAGAAAGAAAGGTAGAAAAGTGAGAGTTTTCTAAATATGTACATCCCTAAATGAACTCACATTATCTATATTTATAGAGATTGAATCCTAAGGTTCTTTTTCTTTGATTGTGTTGTTTCAATCAACAATTACTTCTTTTAATCATACAGATCTCTTTCTAAATAATTTCAAACAAATTGGTTCATTTGAATTATCACACTTTTCATATCAAGAGAAACCATTTTTCACATTTCAAAAAAATTATAGTTTTTTGTTAAAGCAGTAAACTGCTCCCATAAGGTAGTAGACTTCCCCTATATATTTTCTATTTCCAGAATGCTCCATAAAACAAGGTAGTCAATTGCTGCTTTAAGGCAATTAACTTTTCTTAATTCTGAAACACTCAAAACTAATAGCAATCAATAGAGCAATCAATTCTGGTCATAGCAGTCATTTGCCCTATGGTAGATAGTCGACTGTTTCTTTGTTAAGCTTTGTTCGTACTTTTATGGAATTCGTGGCAATCGACTACTTTGCTATAGATAGTTAACTACAACATAAGGCGACTGCATGGCAGTCAACTTCTCTTATTAAGGCAACCTACTGCTCCTATAATAAGCCGTCTTATATTGATTTTTTAAACCTAGAATCAATCTTTTTGACTATGGAACATTACCTAAAGCTATTAAATAGCTTAATATGATTTCTTTTTATTTACTGCTTTCAAATTTTGAAAATATTTTCTTTTAGAATTTGTGTGGTGCTTTTGAGTTTTTTAAGCAAGAATTTAAGAAGACATTGAAGACAATTTTGGTTATTTTCTTTCCTAATTTTTTTTACTAATCTGTTTAACAATTGACTTCATGAGTTTGAAGATGAAATCAAGATTGCCAATGAATTATTTTGGCTTGGGTTTTCTTTAGTTTCTGTTCATATTTATCTTTCATTTACGATTTTGAGGATTTTTTGTCTTTTGACTTTTTAACAATATTTTTGAGGAGTTTTTTTTAGAATGAAAGAAAATCAAGTTTCAATTTTGGCTATATTCAGTGGTAGATCTGATATATGATCTCAGGGCCAATTAAAATTATATATATTTTTATTTGTTATGTTATTCAAATTCGAGAGTTAGTGTCACATACAGTATGTATTCAACAAGAATATACTAATTTTTTTCTTTATTTTTATATTGTTCAATCTCTATATTCACATTTATTACATGTGTGTCAAACACAGATACTTCAAAAAATGAAGATTCCAATGAATTAACATAATTTATCTAAAGTTTTATCAAATAGAAAAAAATGAAAAAAATCACAAAGATATGAGAAGATAAGTGCTAGCTAAAAAAATACACATTTGATATTTGGTTGAAAAGTTATAATCTTGTTGAGAAAACTAGAGAGTTAATTCGTTTTGTTTTTCTTTTTTAAGTTTATATGAATATGACTTATATTTATTACAAATCTATTATTTTTAAGAGTTTGTGAATAATGATTGTAGATATAATTTTAGAAAAATAATAATATGATTTTAATTTCTTATAAATTACAATTGCTAAATTTAAATTAAAAATAAAAAATAAAATTAACAAATAAAATTTTAATGTGAGAGTTAATTAAATTAAATTTAAAATATAAAATAATTATAATATATAAAATATAATATATATTAAAAGATTAAAGAGTACTAGAAACAATTATTTATGCAATTGTTTTTCAACACCTGCTCGTATAAAAAGCACATCATGTTATCATATGAAAGAGTAATAAATATTAGGGCCAGTTTCCTTTTTTTTTTTTTTTTCTATGAATAATAAATTATGAAAATTTTAAAAGTTAAAAATTTATTACCAACAATTGCTGATTTAATTTTATAAGCTGCCAATTTTTTAAACTATTATAACGAGCTCATTAACGAAACAAATGTTTAAATAGCTACTTGTTTGACTATCCTAACATCACATTAAAGCTGTCGAGGCCCCTCAGGTTCCCATGAGGCTCCGCTGCCTCTAGCTATATCGATGTTTTAAGGTTACTTTTGTTAGGAAAATGGGGTCTAGTCCCATGTAAGTGATTTTGGATCAAGTAAAAGCCATGGGCCTTGATCTTTTATTTTACACAGAGCCCTAACTACTTAATAAAAAAGAGGTGGGGTTGTTTTAGGTGTGTGTCAAAAAATCAAGCAGAGAAAGAAGAAAAGCCAGGAAAAGCAGAGAGAGAAAAAGGAGAAGGGAGAGTTGGTTGAATGAAAGTCGATCCGTGGTCCGATTGAGTTAGAACCTTGTCAGGAGGTTTATGATTCAGAGTTCTACATTCTGAACGGTGAAGATCGGGTTTGAAGCTCTCTAGGAACAAATTCAGGGTGTATTTGTTGAGTCACTTATTTGGTGAGATTTCTCCAATTGTTTCTCTAGTTGTTGATTAGCTCTAGTTTTAGCTAGAGAAGAACTTTGTATAACTATTATTTGATAGTGAAGATTTTTCTGGTGGCCCGTAGTTTTTTCCCTCTACACTAGAGGGTTTTCCACGTAAATCTTGGTGTGCTTTATTTTTCTCGCGTATTTGATTATTAATTGTTGTCTATTGCTTCTGTATTGTTGTGATTATTGCTTCAGGCGCAACAAGTGGTATCAGAGCGAGGGTTGTTTTGAGACATCGATACAGAAGCAATCCAGGATAGAAGTAAATTCTGTTTGAGATCATGGAAGGTGATACAGGTTCCATGATAAAATTGATAGCATCGAATTATTCAATTTGGAAGCCTATGATGGAGGATCATCTATACTGCAAAGATTTGTATGAGCTAGTATTGGGTGATTCGGCTAAACTAGCAGATATGAAAGATGAAAGCTGGAAGAAGCTAGGTAGAAAGACGCTGGTTACAATCAAAAAATGGGTTGATATTAGTGTGTTCCATCATGTAGCGTAGGAGTCAGATGCTCACATTGTTTGGAAAAAATTGGCAGCATTGTATGAGAGAAAAACATGTATGAATAAAGTTATGCTTGTTAAAAAGATTGTAACT